GAAAAAAAGTGGAAAGGAAAAAAGAAAAGAAAGGTAGAAAGGAAAAGGAAAGGAAAGAAGGAATGGAAGAAAGAAAGGAGAAGTGAAAAGAAAGGAGGAGGGGAGAGAGAGAGAGAGAGAGAGAGAGAGAGAGAGAGAGAGAGAGAGAATATGAGCCTATTTGGCTTCTCGCCACACTTGTGAGTTCTAAGCCTGCTCCTTCGGCTCTTTTTCGCAGATACAAGCAGGTCCCGGATTCTCCTTTCCTTGTTCAGAGGTTTCCCTAGGGTGTTCCCTTGGACAACTCACATCATCTGTGGTCTCTGCATCGTGTCCTGGTGTGGAGAGGAGTACCAGTGAGAATAGCCAGGCATGTAGCTGTTGGGGGGCATACTGACACCCTTGGCCGAGGCAGAAACGTCCCAGACTGGAGGCAGCGCTGGCGAGCGCGGTGACAGGGCCGCCGATCCCTGAAGGGGGTCGCTCTCATGAGGATTACTGCCCTGCTTCAGCAGTTTCTTAAACTTAGAGCGTTTGTTCTGAAACCATATCTTCACCTGTAAGAAATGCAGCAATCATTAGGCCCATAAACATCAAACCAGTGCTTCTAGCATCACTTGGAGATTTGGAAGCAATATTTAAAAGGAAAAAGCAAACAAACAACCACTGCAAATGCCAACAAGCCAAGTCCTGCCTCCTTCCACCTCTTCCTAGCCTCTTACACTCCCACTTCCTCCAACCTACTAGGTATCTTGCCTGGATACCTAAAGTCATTGTAATTCTAGAATTACATGCTAGCCTGGATATAAAACAACAGTATAAATAAGAAAAACTGAGTGAGATGACCAGGTGGAAAGCCTAAAGAAGGATTTTTAAATTAAAGCTACACAATTGAATGCACCTCCTCCGGTAGTCTGTGTTTTTACATTTTGTCTATGTAAAAGGACTATTTTCCATAGTCATTTGCTCCTAGTACATGCATAGAAATACCCAAAAGCTGGTCTCTCTATACATGTACAGGGAGCAAATGGCTATGAAGAGATTCAAGCCTGTACATTTATAATGAAATGCCTTGAATATATCTATGCATATATTGCACATGCCATAGGTTATACACGAAGCATCTTTCTTCAGACATAAATATATTCCCATAATCTTGCAGGGATTAAGGACTGCAGCTCCTTCATTCCCTATTTTGTATGTTGCCTAGTCAAATTGTGGTCAACAATCATCACATGATTGTGAATATAGTAACTAAAAGTCAAAGGACTTCTGAAAATGTGAATCAGGAATCTGGGCTGGGAGCATATTTAGGCCAATATTTCAGATGTGCTTTATTTGAAGAAGGAAATTCTATGGTGCAGCTTCCTTTACCTTTAAAATTCCCTAGCCATAGGAATCTACTTTTTCAAGAGGCATACAAGCCATTAAATAGCCGGAATGCCTTCATATCAAACCCCAAATATTTATGAATGGAAATATGGAAAGAGAAAACAGGCTAAATTGAAAAGAAGAGCTTACGGAACAACTGTCTTAAGTCAACACAAAATCAGTCTCTAGTATAGTCTCATAAAACCTGAGGTCTCCTGGCTGACGATTACCTACATCAGATGAGGCCTACATACTCCATGCAGGTAAATTAATCAACAAAAACTGTGGGTGATGGCAGCCTGGCTTTTTGACCAGTGTCCTAGTATACTCACCTATGCTCCTTCTTGTGAAATCTGAAATGCCTTCTATGTCTTTCAAATTAGTAGGATGGGAGAACTTCAGTAACTGTACTGAACTGTGGCTTCACCTGTTACAATTTGGGTAACATTTCTCTTTGATCTCCAACTCTGCCACTACACCCAAGTCCTGTGCTCCAAGGAGGCAGCTCAGACCACATCAGCCTGTCAACCCAGATGACTTAACCACTGTGCTTAGGGAAATCTTCAGAAAACAACCCACCTTGCCACTCCTAGGATGAACAGATTGCACTTTGATGCCTTTACTAAACCTCACTGGAACCCATGCCTACTTTGTTTTTTCTTAGTTCATTTCACGAGTTTTCTTTCTGTGTCAATGAGTTGAAATCCTTATTAGCTCCCAGGGCCTACAAAAGGATCCTTAAGAAAAGTGAACCTTATTCTGCCTCCTGACCTGTACACCTTTTTCTCCTAAATGTTTGTTCTCTTTCATGTTGTTCTGCTCTGGAATAAGACTTAATTGAATTATGAGTTTGGTCACAAATGGATTCTGGGCTGGGGTGGGGTCGCCGAGGGTTGGGAGGATGTGCAAATCCAATCCAGTATTCAATACCAGGTCATTCATTCCAAACTGTGTTGTCCCAGGAAAGTGCATAACTGGAGCAAAAGGCATTTGTCATTAAGCTCTTTCCATCCTTGGTTGACTAGGCCAACAATTCCTCCTGATGTGCTCCCTGCCCGATCTGCAAGCGGGACCGGCATTTCAGGGATACTCGGGCTTCTCGGGAATTACCTGTGTTTGTGTCAGTCCTAAGGAAGCTGCCAATTCGGCT